GAAATTGCAATAAGTTTTTGCAGGTGTTTCGAATCCGACTATTGTGGCCCGTATGTATGGATTTTAATTCATGTTGAATGTATGCTGTTTTTAAAGCCTTAGACATGTCAATAAATTTTTGGGTTGGTGAATGCTTGTAATAAATTATTCGCGCGGTGGGACACCGCATAGTTTATGGCTTTCATAGAAACTCATGTACGGCTTCTGCGAGGGTCATAGGATGAATTATGTAATTGTTTTGTATTATTCAATATTGATCCGGTGGGCGTGGACCAACCTTGACAGGGCAAGGCGATAAACACGTACACGGATGCCATGGTGATGATCCAATGGCGACTTTCCCAGAGACAACCAATTCAGTGGGAGTCACTGCGAAAGGGGATTTTCAATACCTGAAACGGAGGGCACACTCAACAAGGACAGGACTGTGTTTTCTCCGCAACATTGAAGATTGATTAATGGCCATGATAGTTGGATTATAGTTCTTAGTTTATTATTGCTCATTAATCATGCATGTTTTATGTGATTGCTTATGTGCAAATACAAACATGTTTTAGAAAATCCCATAAAATAAAAATTATATTAAGTGTGTAATGGGTTGAAATAAATTACATCCAAGTCCTCCATTATAGGTTTGTCAATGAAGTGATTTAATTCGAGCCCAAAAGACTTTTTATTTCACAGTTCACAAGGACGAATCTCCTTCGGGATGGTTATAGTGAGCTATTTCAAAAGCGTACGGGTCACCCAAAGATGGACGTATAATTTTGGTAGTAAACTTAGTATCAATTAATGGGTTACACTTAAAGTGCAAATAATTACGATAGTCCCAAAGGATAAGGTCGTTTTTATTCTTTTATAAAGTTAATTGCGCTGGCCAAAAGATGAAACCGACTATTAGTTAAGTATTGCTCGACAGTATGTTAAGCTAATGGGATTTATCCTTCCTCTTGCGAATGTTTGAACCGTAGACGTCCACACTCCGTGGCCTGTGGGGATTCGGTGTTTTGAGGTGTTGGTGAATTTATTTGTATATTGTTACATGGGATCAATATTTGATGTATAAATTCAAAACTACTTGACTGAGTAAAGACTATGTTTGCATGATCCCAGGAATTCAAAATGTCTTTTCAATCCGTTGTCCGTAATTCTCAAAGAAAACAAACTTGTTGGTCCCAATTATATTGACCGGAAAAGGAACTTGGATATAGTGTTAACTGCTGAAGGGTACAAATTTGCTATTGTTGAGGCTTGTCCGGTTGTGCCTGCTGATAATGCACCAGACCAAGAGAATGAGGAGTATGCTCGGTGGAAAAAGACCGACGAGTTGGCGAAGTGTTACATCTTGGCATCCTTGTCAAATGTACTTCAACATCAACATCAGTCTATGAACATTGCAGCAGACATGCTCCTCAATCTCAAGGAGTTATTTGGTCATCATTCGCGGGCTGCCCGACAAGAGGCCATGAGGGTTTTGATGAACATGACCATGCGCGAGGGCACTCCCGTAAGGGAACATGTTCTTGCTATGATGGCCCAGCTGAATGAGCTGGAGGTTCTTGGGGCTTTTATTGACGGGGAAACCCAGGTTGATATAGTGCTCCAGTCTTTGCCGAAGAGCTTAAAACAATTCCGGTTGAATTACAACATGAATAAGATGTTGATAACTCTTCCGGAAATTGTTGCTGAACTTCAGTCGGCAGAGGGCCTGTTTCGTCAGAAGAACCAAGCTATGGTGGCCCAGCGGGGAGAAGCTTCCACTTCTAAGTCTCCTAAGGGCAAGAAGAGGAAGAAGTCCGTAGGAAAGGGCAAGGCGGTCATGAGTGACGCGCAACCTCGACAAAAAGCAAAGAAGCCGAAAGGCAAGTGCTACAATTGTCATCAGAAAGGACACTGGAAGGCAAACTGCCCTCTTCCCAGGAAATGCGACAAAGGTACACCTTTTGCTTTAGTCGTTGAAACATGTTTAGCGGTGTTATCTACCAGTACCTGGTGTGTAGATACAGGGGTCACTGATCACGTCTGCAATTCATTGCAGGGGTTCCAGGAAACCAAGCGACTTAGGGAAGGAGAAGTTACCATCTACTTGGGCGATGCTAGTAGAGCGTCAGCAGTTGCAGTGGGAGACGTCTATTTAGA